GAAACGTCTGGCCTCACGAAGGTATCAACAACTCTTCTGGAGGCTGTGCGTGAGCGATGTCATAAAATGGTCAAGGATGATATACACTGAGCATATAACAGGTGTTAGGCAGTACAGTGGACCCCCGGTTAACGATTTTAATCCGTGCAAGAGGGCTCATCGTTATGCGAAATAATAGTTATGCGAATGAATTTTCCCCATAAGAAATAATGGAAATAAAATTAATCCGTGCAAGACGCCCAAAAGTATGAAAAAAATTTTTTTTTACCACATGAAATGTTAATTTTAATACACACAAACTGAAAAAGGCATGCACAATTACATGACACTTACTTTTATTGAAGATCTGGTGATGATTGATGGGATGGGAGGAGGGGAGAGCATTATCTTCTTACTGTTTAGAAGGGGAATCCCCTTCCATTAGGACTTGAGGTAGCAAGTCCTTTTCTGGGGTTACTTCCCTTCTTCTTTTAATGCCACTAGGACCAGCTTGAGAGTCACTGGACCTCTGTCGCACAACAAATCTGTCCATAGAGCTCTGTACCTCCCGTTCCTTCAAGACTTTCCTAAAATGGGCCATAACATTGTCATTGAAATAGTCACAAGCACGGCTTGCAACAGCTGTGTCAGGGTGATTTTCATCTATAAAGGTTTGCAGTTCAACCCACTCTGCACACATTTCCTTAATCTTTGAAGTAGGCACAATGGATTCCACAACTGGCATAGGCTTCTCAGGGTTAGCCCCAAACCCTTCAAAATCTTTCTTAATTTCCATACTAATTCTCACCCTTTTTACCACAGGGTTGGCACTAGAAGCTTTCTTGGGGCCCATGGTCACTTATTTTCCAGAAACAGCACCGAAAATACTGTAATAATACGAAATATTCCGAGTGTATGCTTGGATGTTACCGCGGAGGCTGGCTGGTAAACAATGGGACGGAGCGGCACATGTGAGGCTGGCTGAGGGCACATTGGACGCGTCTCGGACGAAAATCGGTATGCGGGTTTTTAATCGGTATGCGCGGCAAAAATTTTGCGATAAAAGTAATCGTTATGCGGAAAAATCGCTATGCGATGCCATCGTTATGCGGGGGTCCACTGTATTAATAAAAATTTGTAAAATTTGCAACATCAAGAAGCTTGTAACTTGATGTTTAGGCCATAATACATTAGAATAGGTTAGTGCAGACATCATAACTGAGTCCTGCTTTGAATTGTGTCACATTAGTCAACGCTATGAACATGCTGTAAAACCCATTGTAGCATTTTTTCGAAAATAAAATCTGTTCTTATCAGCTTAATATCTGATACGATCCCCATGTGGGACCTTCGATATTAAACTGATTTTTGGATCATGGCAAAGTGCTAGGGGCTTGCTCCACCTTTGCCGTAGATCAGCCCGGTATTACAGTACCTCCGGGATTGGTCCACTCCTCTTGGGGAGGAAAAAATTTCATCCAATCAAATTTTAATACAAAGCAGTCTGTTGTATACTTTGAGTATATCTCCAGCATTAATTGGAACCCAGCTGGATGTCCCAGGAATTTCATGTGTTGCCCATTCTTAATGTCCAAATTTTGACAATTGAGGTGGACAACACGATGCCTGGAACCCAACTGGATGCCTTGGGTTAAGGGTAGCACTTCCCACTACCCTTATTGACTCTGCCTTTTGCATACTCCTAATCTTCGCTGATCTCTGATCTTCACATATTTCATCTTTAGCACATTTCACTCTTCAGCATTGTATGGGTTTAGTGCTTAGTTTTGATTGTAATAATTCACCACAGTTTAGTTAATGGTTTACTAAAGGTTAACTAGTGGCTCAAACTGAAAAATTGCAGGTAGATATAGACAATTCTTCAGTGGGCAGTGGCCAACAACATGATGTTCAGTAGTGATAGGTTCCAGCTTCTTGGGTATGGAAATAATGATGAACTCAAATGGGACACTGTATACAAAATTGAAAAGGATCGTCCAATAGAAAAAAAGGAACACATGGCAGATGGGAGTAATTATGTCACCTGACCTTTCGTTCAAAACACACAGTAAGACAAATGCCAGGACCACCAGGAAAATGACGGGACAGATACCTGGAGTTTACCTGGAGAGTGTTTCGGGGGTCAACGCCCCCGCGGCCCGGTCTGTGACCAGGCCTCCTGGTGGATCAGCGCCTGATCAACCAGGCTGTTGCTGCTGGCTGCACGCAAACCAACGTACGAGCCACAGCCCGGCTGATCAGGAACTGACTTTAGGTGCTTGTCCAGTGCCAGCTTGAAGACTGCCAGGGGTCTGTTGGTAATCCCCCTTATGTGTGCTGGGAGGCAGTTGAACAGTCTCGGGCCCCTGACACTTATTGTATGGTCTCTTAACGTGCTAGTGACACCCCTGCTTTTCATTGGGGGGATGGTGCATCGTCTGCCAAGTCTTTTGCTTTCGTAGTGAGTGATTTTCGTGTGCAAGTTCGGTACTAGTCCCTCTAGGATTTTCCAGGTGTATATAATCATGTATCTCTCCCTCCTGCGTTCCAGGGAATACAGGTTTAGAAACCTCAAGCGCTCCCAGTAATTGAGGTGTTTTATCTCCGTTATGCGCGCCGTGAAAGTTCTCTGTACATTTTCTAGGTCGGCAATTTCACCTGCCTTGAAAGGTGCTGTTAGAGTGCAGCAATATTCCAGCCTAGATAGAACAAGTGACCTGAAGAGTGTCATCATGGGCTTGGCCTCCCTAGTTTTGAAGTTCTCATTATCCATCCTGTCATTTTTCTAGCAGATGCGATTGATACAATGTTATGGTCCTTGAAGGTGAGATCCTCCGACATAATCACTCCCAGGTCTTTGACGTTGGTGTTTCGCTCTATTTTGTGGCCAGAATTTGTTTTGTACTCTGATGAAGATTTAATTTCCTCATGTTTACCATATCTGAGTAATTGAAATTTCTCATCGTTGAACTTCATATTGTTTTCTGCAGCCCACTGAAAGATTTGGTTGATGTCCGCCTGGAGCCTTGCAGTGTCTGCAATGGAAGACACTGTCATGCAGATTCGGGTGTCATCTGCAAAGGAAGACACGGTGCTGTGGCTGACATCCTTGTCTATGTCGGATATGAGGATGAGGAACAAGATGGGAGCTAGTACTGTGCCTTGTGGAACAGAGCTTTTCACCGTAGCTGCCTCGGACTTTACTCTGTTGACGACTACTCTCTGTGTTCTGTTAGTGAGGAAATTATAGATCCATCGACCAACTTTTCCTGTTATTCCTTTAGCGCGCATTTTGTGCGCTATTACGCCATGGTCACACTTGTCGAAGGCTTTTGCAAAGTCTGTATATATTACATCTGCATTCTTTTTGTCTTCTAGTGCATTTAGGACCTTGTCGTAGTGATCCAGTAGTTGAGACAGACAGGAGCGACCTGTTCTAAACCCAGAGAGTTTTTAAAACAGAAATAATGCCAGTGGTATGTTTTCAAATTGCTTGTGCTCTCTATTTTTCCTGCCTCTTTCAGAGCAGGATAACCATCAGAGCTGGAATAGATAGATTGTTTATGATCCACATAGAGCCAATAAAACATTTAAATTACTGGGAATGCCTCAGTCTTAAATATGTACTCGCTGGTGCAGAGTAGATATACATAGTAATATATACGTCCCTGGAAAGTACTCTAGGGCCTTGTCCCAAATCTCCACACTGCCTAACAGTATACCGGAGTGAGAGATAAAAGTACAAAATAAACTCAGTACAAAGCAGGGGTGCAGTGTATCAACGTCCGTAGCCCCAAACTATTCAACATCTCTCCAAAAGATATCCAGAACAGGATAGTAATTTTTTTCCGGTGGCCTGGTGGCTAAAGCTCCCGCTTCACACACGGAGGGCCCGGGTTTAATTCCCGGCGGGTGGAAACATTTCGACACGTTCCCTTACACCTGTTGTCCTGTTCACCTAGCAGAAAATAGGTACCTGGGTGTTAGTCGACTGATGTGGGTCGCATCCTGGGGGACAAGATTAAGGACCCCAATGGAAATAAGTTACAGTCCTCGATGACGCACTGACTTTCTTGGGTTATCCTGGGTGGCTAACCCTCCGGGGTTAAAAATCCGAACGAAATCTTATCTTACCCTTCCCTTTTGCACCTGTTGTGCAGAAAAGCCGTAAAAGCACCTAACAATGAAGTGGCTCAGTTGAAAGCTAATGAAAATGTGGAACACCAAAAAGAGTGCCAAACATGCGGGGGCCCTCCTGTATAGAACAGTAACTGATATTAGTAAGGCTAAGTTGTTGAATCTTCACTTTCAAGCCCCTTTTCCTTGTATTTGCTCTCTCATGGCTTTCCGTATTTACCCCACACCCCCTCTATGTTCACCCTACATCTTACTTATCCCTCCCTCCTTAGGAAGTTCCAACAAACCATGTTTGCTCTTTCCCACTTCCATATGCAAAAGCTCACTTACCTCCTAAACTTTGTTCACTCCTTCACTTTGTCTCAATCTTGTGCTATTTATTGCTGGCAACAGTGGTGGTCTGCATCAGACATCAAATTTTCTGTCAGACCATGTTTAAGATTCTGGCATCTTCCCACCATTGTTTGGGAGACTACACTCATGATTACATATTGAACACACTGACACCCCACATGGAGAAATATTGGTGCCAGTCTCTGGGGACTATCAGGTCATGCTGTCCATTCAACATACCTTAATAGATTGTCCTGCTTATCAGAGTGCACACATATTCCACTTATTATAAAGTTAATTCATCTAAGTGCCTCTCTGAGTCCCACTTTTGATTCAGACTTAACTTATTATACCAACCTTTATTTCAGTTTTACCAAACCCCTAACTTGGTACAGTCCTACCTTTGTGCATTTCTACTTTCACATATCCCTCCCTGTCCCTCCCTGCAGCACTGGCTCTTATGGGGTTAAGGCTTAATTTGATTATAATGAAAGAACTAACGTTCATTTTAATTTTGGTATTCTGAATTCAGAATGAAAATAAAATCAGCATTACTCAAATATACAATTTATTAAAGTTGTCTTTTCATACATGGTAAAGACCACCAATTCAGCATAACATGAAGTGGTGACAGTACCACTGACATAAGAGCTAAGTTATTACACCACACAGAATTGATCATAATGCACTTTTCTTAATAGTCTTCAGGGTGAGACCATTGTAATGTCCATGAATACAGCTCATTTAAAAATACAATGATGCAAACAACTTCTCAATTCTGTGGCTTCTTTATCATAGTTGACATTTGTTTGTTGCTCGTATTAACACTTGACACACTAATTCAGTACTAGTGGGTAACATTATATACACAAAAATTAAGGCATCACTGATTTCATAGAATTGGCTCCATGATCGTTGAGAGAGAACACTTGTTTACATAAAAGCTCAGTTTCATGCAATAATTTTATTGTACAATTTCAAAATTCCTGCTGTACATATTTTCCCATGCCAGTAGCTTGGGTATTGTTCCACAATACAATAAATGAATCTGCTGGCCTTGAAGCATATAAAATTAAAAGCAATTTGAAAGGATCAAACAGCATTATGTATAAAGTTAAATACATGTTAATGACTTTTCACACCAGACACTGTAAGAATACTCTGTAATGTAATAGAGAATCAAGTACGAGTACTTTATATTTTTCTATGAACTAAGTTTTTGGTTATAAAATAAAATTTTATAGTATAAAAACTTAATAAAGACAAAACAAGGCATGTAAAAAGTTCCCCAAATAAGTTTAAGCTAAGAACGGTCAGAAAACAACTCTCGGATAACATCTTAATTAAATGTTAGGCTGGTTCCATTGCTGCTTAATATTCTGAGACTGTCGTGAATCTCTTAATTGTGTGCTATCCTAATGAAACGTAGTGAATAAACTCTGTAAAACCAAACACCTTTAGTCAACAGTTATGAAATTTGCAAAGGCAGAAGTTCCTCAAGACTGTTTACAGCTTTTGAGGATGAAAATATGACTACATAAAAAAGTAATCAAATTGTAGCTAAAATCACAAACTATATACATCTATATATTTGCTTAATGAAAGAATCTGGTGATTTTATAATGCATAAGCAATGTATCATACATACATCTTGTGTAACCATTCATTCTTACATCATGCAAACTACATGGAGATTAATGTACATGTACTGCTTCCAATAACTTTGCAGTTTAGGGTGTACTATTTTATTTATACATATGCAGTTACATTATTTTTGTTCATGTTCTAATGTACGTTATCAGTCGTAAAATATTTATGACAGGAAGTTTTAGAGTACTGCACAGTAATTTCTTTCAAACTCAAAATTATGCATCGTATATCAGTTTTTAATTTTTTTTTTTACAACTATTTATCATGTACACTGTAGTTATTGGATACCATTATTGACTTGTTCATACAATATCTATGAAGTTGTAATACTGTATTGTTTTCTAAAATTTCAATTTGCATTTAATAACCATATCAATTACACTTCATTTTATAGTACAGTGAAAACAATAGCAATCATATAGTGGTAATGAATTGACAATACAGGCTTTAAATATTTGTGGTATAGATGTGACTTTTCTAAAATGGACCTATAATGCATTTTATAAATATAAAATTCATTGAAAATAAGATACTCATTGCATTAACTTGCTGCAATCATGTGTTTGGCAACTAATAAATAGAAGGTGGAGCATTAGACAAATTACTATAGTAGAATTATGGAAGTAGCAACTTCAAAAGTTTTCACTTCATAAAAATTTAATTAAAGCCCATATAAACTGCAATACAAATTGAAGCTCAGGTACCCATTAGCTAATCTTTGATGAGGAACATAAGATTAAAGTAACTTCAGCAGTTCCCTAGAAAACCTGAAAAAAATGTCTGAAGGCTTATTTTATATTAGAGCTTAAAGATGAGCCAAAATGTGTATGCAGTTTTCTCACTTATATGCACATTCCATATCAAATAAATTTTCCCCATATACAGAGCAATATGGCACACGAGAAATCTTTAGTTTATTCTGAGTATATTTCTATTTTAACATTAAGTATCAGAGAACAGCATTTCTTTAGAACTGCATGTTCTGACTGCCCCTTGTAAATGGAGGCAGATGCCCTGTTGCTGATGACGGGCTCGATCCATGTTGCTGAAGCTATCCTTCCCTTTCTCAGATCAAAACCAATTGCCTTTTATTCCCAGGTGCTATATAACCCATGTGAGTTCAGCACTTCCAAATGAATCTTAGTAATGTTCTGGCTATGACATGAATATGCCTTCAATAACTAGTATAAATGTATACAATGAATGGGTTTTCTCTGCAACTATGGATGATTAAGTAGAAATGAGAGCTATGATAGGAAAGTTAATACAATGTGAACAGCACAAGACAAAATATAAAGTAAAACACTTGGATATCACTGAAATTGCAAAATGCTTGGCAGAACACCAGGAGGGTGCTACATTAGTATGACTAAGTAAAAAAGTATCATGTTTGATGTGATGTTAAATACAGTTGTCAAGCAATCTCTGCAAAGACAACTAGGCGAGGAAACAAGCACATACTTTTTTCTCTCTAAATTGCATTTAAAATTTAAATATTTCAAGATATTCTTTAGGGATGTTTCGTCTATTTTTCAGTTTAAAGAAAAAAGTCAGTACTTGTCACTGGATGGTGACATATTGTAGAGATAATGTCAGGTGGTGTGGAGTTAAAAATATGCAGAGGGTTGAGGAGGTTTGCAGCTGCTAGAAAAATGACAGGATGGATAATGAGAACCTTCAAAACTAGGGATGCCAAGCCCAAGATGACACTCTTCAGGTCGCTTGTTCTATCTAGGCTGGAATATTGCTGCACACTAACAGCACCTTTCAAGGCAGGTGAAATTGCTGACCTAGAAAATGTACAGAGAACCTTCACAGCGCGCATAACGGAGATAAAACACCTCAATTACTAAGAGCGCTTAAAGTTCCTGAACCTGTATTCCCTGGAACGCAGGCGGGAGAGATACCTGGAGAGAGTTCCGGGGGTCAACGCCCCCGCGGCCCGGTCTGTGACCAGGCCTCCTGGTGGATCAGAGCCTGATCAACCAGGCTGTTGCTGCTGGCTGCACGCAAACCAACGTACGAGCCACAGCCCGGCTGATCAGGAACTGACTTTAGGTGCTTGTCCAGTGCCAGCTTGAAGACTGCCAGGGGTCTGTTGGTAATCCCCCTTATGTGTGCTGGGAGGCAGTTGAACAGTCTCGGGCCCCTGACACTTATTGTATGGTCTCTTAACGTGCTAGTGACACCCCTGCTTTTCATTGGGGGGATGGTGCTTCGTCTACCAAGTCTTTTGTTTTCGTAGCGAGTGATTTTTCATGTGCAAGTTCGGTACTAGTCCCTCTAGGATTTTCCAGGTGTATATAATCATGTATCTCTCCCTCCTGCGTTCCAGGGAATACAGGTTTAGGAACCTCAAGCGCTCCCAGTAACTGAGGTGTTTTATCTCCGTTATGCGCACCGTGAAAGTTCTCTGTACATTTTCTAGGTCGGCAATTTCACCTGCCTTGAAAGGTGCTGTTAGTGTGCAGCAATATTCCAGCCTAGATAGAACAAGTGACCTGAAGAATGTCATCATGGGCTTGGCCTCCTTAGTTTTGAAGGTTCTCATTATCCATCCTGTCATTTTTCTAGCAGATGCGATTGATACAATGTTATGGTCCTTGAAGGTGAGATCCTCCGACATGATCACTCCCAGGTCTTTGACGTTGGTGTTTCGCTCTATTTTGTGGCCAGAATTTGTTTTGTACTCTGATGAAGATTTAATTTCATCATGTTTACCATATCTGAGTAATTGAAATTTCTCATCGTTGAACTTCATATTGTTTTCTGCAGCCCACTGAAAGATTTGGTTGATGTCCGCCTGGAGCTTTGCAGTGTCTGCAATGGAAGACACTGTCATGCAGATTCGGGTGTCATCTGCAAAGGAAGACACAATGCTGTGGCTGACATCCTTGTCTATGTCGGATATGAGGATGAGGAACAAGATGGGAGCGAGTACTGTGCCTTGTGGAACAGAGCTTTTCACCGTATCTGCCTCGGACTTTAGTCTGTTGACGACTACTCTGTGTTCTGTTAGTGAGGAAATTATAGATCCATCGACCGACTTTTCCTGTTATTCCTTTAGCACGCATTTTGTGCGCTATTACGCCATGGTCACACTTGTCGAAGGCTTTTGCAAAGTCTGTATATATTACATCTGCATTCTTTTTGTCTTCTAGTGCATTTAGATAAATGATTATATACACCTGGAAAATCCTAGAGGGACTAATACCAAACTTGCACATGAAAATCACTCACAACGAAAGCAAAAGACTTGGCAGACGATGCAACATCCCCCCAATGAAAAGCAGGGGTGTCACTAGCACGTTAAGAGACAATACAATAAGTGTCAGGGGTCCGAGACTGTTCAACTGCCTCCCAGCATACATAAGGGGGATTACCAATAGACCCCTGGCAGTCTTCAAGCTGGCACTAGACAAGCACCTAAAGTCGGTACCTGACCAGCCGGACTGTGGCTCGTACGTTGGATTGCGTGCAGCCAGCAGTAACAGCCTGGTTGATCAGGTTCTGATCCACCAGGAGGCCTGGTCACAGACCGGGCCGCGGGGGCATTGACCCCCGGAACTCTCTCCAGGTAAACTCCAGGTAATTTAGAAAGGACAGAGTAAAATAGGATGACTTTGGTGTATAAATCTGTAGTGGAGGGAGGAGGGGGTGCGAGGTTTTGTGTACAAGGGGCTTGGACATACAGCAGGCATGTGTGAGTGTTGTGGCCTCCTACCAAACTAGTGGTCAGATTGTTAACTTGCCGGCTTGCAGTACCACGGGTACATCATCAGACTCAACATGGGGACTGCTGAGCCGGCTTTACTGCAAGTGTTCACCAGATTCCTTCATGGAGTACACCATGATACCAACTGACTCACTGCTGACTTCAGTCAACTGAGGGCCTCCTGGCTGTAGTTTTACTGGTCACTCAGATCCTGCAGACTTAAGTTACCTGCAGGCCTCGCTTAGTCTGCTGGCTTCAGTTATCATGGGCCTCAGGACTTGGTTGCCTGTTGGCCGTGCTGGACTCATTACCTGTGGGCCCCTGGTCGCAGTTTTATTGGCCTTTTCTACGGACCTCATTGGACCTTGCTGGCCTCCGGCTGATTTTACCGGCATGATTTGCCAGTTTGGCCTCTAAGGAGAAAGACGCTATGCGGGTGATAGAGAAGAGAATGTTATAGCGCGGAGAGATTGTGTCGTGTGACAGATGAGGAGGAGTGCTATAACACGGTAGAGGTGTGTAGAGTTACACAGAGAATAGGGTGTAATGTGGACACAGTGTTATAATGCAGAGACAAGGGTGTCGTGTGACACGGTAGAAAATGTGTTATAACCCTGAAAAGGGTGTCATCTGTATCCTGCGAGTGTCAGGTGACATGGTGTGTAAAACAACCACTGTGAAAGAATAGAGAAATTCCAAGCGCTTTCGTGACTACTCACATTATCAAGGAACAATAAAAGTAATGCATCAAAGGAAGGCATATAAAGGGTCTAGACCACACCTCGCTATCACATCCCACAACAAAGCAACACCTGACACGCGACTCATAAGAAAGAGAATACTGCAGCAGACCCGCTGGCCTGCTTTGTTGTGGGATGTGATAGTGAGGTGTGGTCTAGACCCTTTATATGCCTTCCTTTGATGCATTACTTTTATTGCTCCTTGAAAATGTGAGTAGTCACGAAAGCGCTTGGAATTTCTGTACTCTTTCACAGTGGTTGTTTTGCATATTATATATGTTATTTTGATGAAAGACACCCACAGAGGGAAAACTGTAAAAAATGAAGTGCTGTATATTTTGAAACCCAAAATTAGTACTGCATACTTTTTTATTTTAGCACAAATTAACTAAGATTCAAGTTCAAACCTCCAAATAGGCAAAGTGATCATTCTTTTATATTCTTTATACTAGTGACTTGTGATGTCAAGGCCCCAAACAGTACTAAACATTTTTCTTTGAGAAGATGCCATTCTACTTGAGAAACTGCACGTATGTGTTATGAAAACTTCAGACATTTAGGCCTAGCAGGAGTCAGAAATGTGAAGCATTAATATACACACAGAACCTTACTTATCTTTACTTTATATAGCTTTCTAAAAATGTTTATGCTTTATTTGTATTATTTTTTATAAGTCATATATTTTCATTTGCATTATACAGATGAATGCTTTAATAAATAGCAATCTTCTTATCTACTCCATTTAGTTTATAGTTATAACATGTGCATCATTAATGAAGGTACAAAACATGATCTAATTAGAGTTTTACACATTTAGGGATACACTTCATATTCTTAAATTAATGCTGTTTATAATTTTGATTTTGAAACATTGTTTGGATATCCTGTACTTTTACTCTGCTATATTTCAGCATTCACAGTTAAATCCATGGGTAGCATCACTTGTATACAATCACGCAACAATATCCATAGAGTCTGGTGTAAGAGCATCGTCAAATGAGTGATGAGATGAATTCGGCGAAGAGACCTGGGGTGAAGAAAATACAGGATCACTTGTAAAAGCTGGTCCATCATCATCCATCAAGTCCAAGTTGAACCCTCCTGATGTGAAGTCTTCCAATAGCTCCTGTTATGGCAAATGAAAAGTAATGATTGGTTGTTGGATACCTTAGCAGAATTACATGAAAAATTATCAATAATTCATGCTATATTTTTTATCAGTCAGCCTTGTCTGCCAAATCAGTAGTTTGCCTTAGAAATGCTATACTGCAGTTTTTTTTTTAATTACAAATTTTGAGCTAATGTGACTGGCTCTGTTTATGTACTACAACCCTGACAGTGCCGAGGGTCTCTGCAAAGATCTAACCTGATTTCCTCTAATTATCTAGGCATTGTATGATTCTTACTTATTTAGCTTTTCCCAAGAATATAAAACTAATGCATAACCTATGTTCTATATAACACAAGGAGGAAAGATTAATGTGCACCATAGTATTAGGATGTATATTATTATTATAATCAAAAAGAAGCGCCAAGCCACGAGGGCTATACAGCGCTGATTAGGATGTATAAAGGATACTGCTGTTATCTGCACCACTTCTTACATTTGCCTCTTCCTTCATTATGAGCTCTTGAATCTGAACCCTTTGAGTGTCGAGACCCCTACTCGCAAATTTGCTCATAATGTTGAAGACTTCAAAAAAAAAAAAAAAAAATTATGAAATGATGGAGAACCTCTTTCTGAAGGTAAAGAAACCAAAAGTTCAAAATTTAATGGAAGACTTACGAAATTACTCTCTCAAGAAGTTAGCAGTCTCAGTGATATTTACGCATTGGCAGTTTTGCCCGCTTTGAGCCAATTCCTTTTATTCTATATCGACTAAGTACAAGAAACTACCCATTTACCTATTTGAACTACACAAAAGTGATCAGAAATTACTAATTTGGCCAATTTCAAAATAGGGGCCAGAGTAAACAATGCAGACATTCCTGGCACTAAAATAACATTTTCTCTGTTCATTAGTCATGTCTCCAGGCCTTTCTTATATTACACTTGCTTTTCATTTTCAATTTTTATTCACACAAAAAATAGATGATTTACTGTTATTCAGACTACTGCATAATATGTAATAATTGTATAAGTAATATCAGCACATTTGTGAATGCATATTAGACCTGTGAGTTGATGTGTTGGATGCATGACATGATTTGTTTACTCTTGACCATCAAAAATCGAACATTTCTGCTACCTTGAGCTCAATTTCAATTAACTTTTATTTGGTACCTCTTCAAGGGGGGCTCCTTGGCATGGTGAAGAGGCTCTTGGTCTGAGGAATTAGACCTGTCGGTCTTCTTCCTCAGACCGAACCTAATTACCCCCCAATCTCCCCTCCCCTATCCCATCCTCCCCATCCTCTCCTTTTTCCTTTCCTCCTCCTCCCCACCCCTCCCTTTTGCCCTTCCTCTTTTTGGCCTTTGGGATTTCTCCCACAGGCACGCTAGTTCCTAGGTAGGGGAAAGGATACCGGGGTCCATCCCATTCTGTTGAGGTTCTTGGTGGTGGCGTAGTTTGCCGTGGAATCTGGATCGCCTGGGGACGTCCCGATCCCTCTCCGGTATCCCGGAGTAGCTTTGGGTGTCTTTCAGGCGACGGGTGTATCTCTGGAAGCCACCTTTCGGATTCCGGGGGTGGTGGCCGAAGGAGGTATGCTTTGTGGCATATATCCGGCCGCCCTCTCTTTTGTCCACCGAGGTAGCTCAGCAGATGTGAGGTTGCTATCCCGGATTGTTAGTTTACTAGCATGATGGGTAGGGTATGGCACGGGTTCCATGCTGCATCTGCGCTACTTGCGGTGCTGAGGTCCTCTTGGGCACGGAGGGAGATTTCTGGCCCTTTCATTCCTCCTAGGAACTATCCCTCCCCGGTCCCCCCTTTTTTTATTCTTTTTTTTTTTATTTTTCTTTTCTTTTCTTTTTTTCTTAAACAAAAAGAAAGAAGTAACCTAACCATGGCAGCCCTAGTCCATGAACCTACTACCCCCGGGCCCCTTCTTGATACCGCACCCCGTTCTGACCCCGCCTTGTCTTTGGACCACTCTTCAGACACTCCTCATGCCTCTGTACCTCTTGCCGGTGCTGTTTTCTCACCCGCTTCAGGTACTGAGGCCTCGACTGACTCCTTCGATTTATCGGACCTTCGCTCTCCTCTGACTATGCTTCCGGCCTCTCCCTCTACGGTGTGGCAATTTTCAAATCGCCGACCCGTTCCACGTCGGACCAACTCTGGTCCCACGCCTAAACGACAATGACAATTACCTGCTGATGATACTTCTCCACCTTCTCGTTCTTCTCAGAAACGATCAACACGTCCTTCACTACCTTTCCACGCTCAGTTTCAGACTGAACAATGGACTAAATTCTTCACTTTACGACCGACTTCCTCTACTGCCTATCTTTCTGACCACAGTATTGGCAAGGCACTCCTACGCCATGTTGGTAAAGATATTTCTTTTCATGCTCTGAAGAGCGGTACGCGCATCATCACCGTACAGAATGCTACCCAGGCTCATGAGCTCTCTCGTCTTTCCCATATCGATACTGTTCCTGTCACTCTTGAAAAACATCATTCCCTTAATTCTTGTAGTGGTACCGTCATTCTGCCCCATACCATAGTTCAACAAAATTTCCAGACATGTGGCACTGACATTCTAGAACAGCTGGAACTCCAAGATCTCCCAATCCTCAAGGTAGACACTTACGTTCTTCCTGCCCGCGGGCGGAGATGATACCCTAGCAATGTGGCTCGTTTAACTTTTGACAGCCGAGAACTCCCATCCTCAGTTTATATAGCAGGGCATCGGTTACAAGTTCGAAAGGTGATCCCTACACCACAACAGTGTAGAAATTGCTGGCGATTTGGCCATCCAGCGAAATATTGCAGATCTATCGCCGAATGCCCAGTCTGTGGTGCCGATGACCATTCTAATACGTCTTGCAATCGATCTCCCTCTTGTCTTAACTGTCATGAGGCTCACCCTTCGTACTCTCGCCGTTGTCAAGTCTATTTAAACGAGCGGGAAATCCGTTACCTCAAAGAGACAGGTCTCCCTTATGCCACGGCAGTTTCTCATCTCCGCCTCCAAGGGAGACTCCCATGTGTTTCTTATTCCCGTGTTTCAAAACGTCCCCCCACTCACTTCTGGTATCCCATCTTCTACACCCACCTCTGTGGTTACCTCTCCCATAGTCACTCCTGTATCTAATCCTTTTGCTGTCCTCGGCTCAGACGTCCCTACTTCAACGCCTCAGTCTGATCTCGCTTCTTCGTGTTCTCTCTCACAAGCCTCAGTATCGACGAGACCTCGTACGACACCTCCTCCCAATTGTCCCTCTACTTCTCAAAAGTCAAAAAAAGGTCCGTTAACACCTCCTACCCATCTTCCACCTCCTCATTTTACCCTCCGTCTCTGCCCCTGGTTCTCCCCCTCTCACTGGCTCAGTTACAAGTGTAGAGGTTCACCCTCCTCCTCGTACTGTATCTTCCTCCCCTGTTCCCTCCCAAGTTTCTTCCTCTTCTGCCACCTCCCAGGTTTCTGCCTCTTCTGTCCCCTGCCACGCTTCTCCAGTTCCCTCCACCCTTTCGCCCCCCCCTTTTCCAATATTGTCTCCCATACGACGTCTCTGAATTCCGAAACACTTGAAGCAATCTCTGAATATATTGCAGAGACCAAACCATCAATGGACACTGATCCACCTTCCGCTCTTTCTCTCTCCTCTGCTCCATCTGCGCAACTCCTTTCTTCACAGCGCACCGTTCCTTCGCTGCTTGAACGTTTTCCACTGCCTCCGCATGTGGACTTTTCTAACCCCTCTAGTCCGTAGGAACCCTTACCTGCGGATTTCAAGTATCCTTATCATTGCCAATCATGGCCTATTTACAGTGGGATATAAGCGGCCTCAGGGGTAATCGGGGTGAGCTTCAGATGTTACTCTCCCAGTTTGCCCTTGTTGGTGTTTGCTTACAGGAACCAGAATTACACTCTGCTGTTATTTCTCCCATCTCAGGCTATAATTTATTGTATTCTTCAGACCCTTTTCCTGATGGGACCTTTAATGAAAGTGCCCTTCTTCTACGCACTGATATTCCGTACCATCAGCTATTTGTTCATACTTCGCTGCATTACACAGCAGCCTGTATCCACTTACATAAGTGGTATACGCTCTGTTCTTTATATCTCTCCTTCTCGGGCATTATCTATTCCGGATATTACCTTTCTTGTTTCGTCATTACCGCCACCGATTCTGTTACTTGGTGATTTTAATGCCCACCATTTCCTCTGGGGGGGGGGTCTCACTGTGATTCCCGTGGAATTCAGTTAGAGGCTTTTCTTACCACCCACCCCCTCCATGTTTTAAATACAGGTACTCACACCCATTTTGATCCTCGGACTCGTACTCTCTCTTGCATCGATCTCTCAGTCTGCTCTTCCTCCGCCGCATTAGACTTCACTTGGTCTGTTCTCCCGGACTTGCATGACAGCGATCATTTCCCAATCATTATTACTTCCCCTTCATATTCGCCACCTCTTCGCACCCCACGCTGGCAATTTGATCGGGCAAATTGGAACCTTTACTCACACCTAACTGTTTTTAAAGAGGTTCCTTCTTCGTCCTCCATCGATGAGCTTTTACACCTCTTCTCGTCCTCAGTTTTCACCGCAGCTTCTCATTCTATACCCCAAACTTCGGGCAGGCATTCTCAGAAATGCGTGCCTTGGTGGTCTCCTGCTTGTGCTCATGCAGTACGTTTGAAACGCGCTGCATGGGGCAGGTATCGGTACAATAGAACCACAGAGAGACTCCTTGATTTTAAACAGAAGTGTGCGATCGCTCGCCGTGTCATCCGTGACGCTAAACGCACTTGCTGGCGAGATTGTCTCCACCATCACCTCTATTTTCCTCTATGAGTGCAGTCTGGAAAAAAGTACAAAAAACTGAGTGGTAAATATTCTCCTGACCCGGCTCCTGTTCTGCGGGTTGCCGGTGTTGATATAGCAAACCCACTAGATGTTGCCAATGAAATTGGCAATCATTTGGTCCGTATTTCTCAGGGACTCCATCTATGCC